GCTACCTTTTGGGCACTTTTGGGGCCCTTAACGTGCTCGAAAACTCTTGAAACTTTGCACACGGGTCAGAACCCGCGGCCATCAGAGCCGGGCTGAAGCTGGTACCTGGGCGTGGCAGGGGGGCTCGTCAGCGCCCCCTGGAACGGGGTCCGAACACTCGGTCCATAACTCAAACACGCTTGCATGTAATAATATGAAACTCGGTACACATGTTGATCTCATCGTTTCATCTATACCTCGCGCTCTTACTTTTTACCCCAGCCCAACAGGAAGTCGGCTATTGAGGTTTGTTTGTAAAACGCTCGCAATGGTATTTGAAATACTCCTCCTAGAGCTTTGATCCAAATTCGATGAAACTCGGTCAGCGTGAAGTCAAGACATTGAGGATGAAAGTTTGCGAAGGGATTTTTGATATCTCGAATGGTTTGGCCGTGGCGAGGAAACGAAATCATGGCGAGAAACGTGAAACAGGAAGTGTGTCATAACTTCAGCATACATTAACTGATCTTTATGAAACTTCAGCAGTGTGTTCACTGTAAGAGGACGATCACATGGATGTGACTATTGTGAGTCAAAGTTATAGCGACACCAACAGGTAGCAGGAAGTGTGTCACTTTCAAAATGCTTTGAAATCACCCTTTTATTTTTACCCGATTTGCTTCAAACTTCATCTGTATAATGTAAACATACGGCAAATGTAGACCTGTGAATGGATTCTTGATAACTTTCAAACTTTACCATTCTTTTAGGATGCTTTTGAGACCCTTAGCATGCTTCAAATTGCATGAAACTCGACAGACACATCACATTTATTAGCCAGTAGACATGTGCAAAGTTTCAGAAACGGGCGTGGTGAGGGCTCAGTAGCGCCACCTTTTGACAAAAGTGGGGTTGTTAGTTTTATCTAGAGTTACAAAAATTGGTATGTATATTGTACTCCTCAAGCCGGAAAACTTTCTAATTTACACTTATTAGCTAGGACCCACAGAAAGTCAGATATGTTTGTTTGAATGTGGTCTTGCTTCTTCTGAGCCTATGTGTCACTGTGTCTCTGTGTCTTTGGCTGTCTGTTTGTGTGTGTGTGTGTGTGTGTGCATGTCTGTGTGTGTGTGCAGGGGGAGGGGGCTTAACCATTTCACTGCTGTGTGTCTGGCCTGCAGAAAAAGAAAATACATTTCTTAAGCCTGGTATGTTTTAAATAAGTTTTTATTTATTTTTTTTTCATAAGTAAAGGCATAATATAACCAGTTTAATTGTAGTGCATTGACAATAGTTTTATATAATTAGTTTATTAATTAAATTAACTTGGTCCATAAACTTGATCTGAAAATTTGGTCCATAAATCAAACACACTTGCATGTAATAATATGAAACTCGGTACACTTATAGATCACATCAGGCCAAACAACTTTCGTGCTCTAAGTTTTACGACAGTTCAAATGGAAGTCAGGAATTATGTGTTGTTTGAATAAATCTCCTAGGAGAAATACATTAAATTACAATGCATGTGTTTACCAATCTCCACCAATCTCAACTCGGTGTGCATGAAGTCAAGACATTGAGGATGCTCAATTTCAGACGGATTTTTGATATCTCGAACGGTTTGGCTGTGGGTGGAAATTAATTTTATGACTAAAAAGGGACACATAAAATGTGTTATAACTTTGCTCGTTTTACCTACAGTTACAAAACGTGCCACGTATATTGTTCTTGTCAAGCCGATCAACTTTCTAATTAACAGTAAGAAGCTCAGACCAAAAGAAAGTCAGATATTTCAGTTTGGATGTGTATCTTGTCTCTATCAGTGTCTGTGTGGGGAGGAGGGAGGAGGGAGGAGGGAGGGGGGGGTTGCTGGTGTCTGTGTTTATGTGTGTGTGTGTGTGTGTGTGTGTGTGTGTGTGGCTGACTGTAGATTTTTCCTGCAAGTCCTTAACTTTTTGCATAACAATTTTGTAGTTTTTTTAAATAACAAAATATGCATAAAACCCTAATCTTTTAAATGTATAGTTTGCTTTAAATAAAAGTAAAATAAATTGGTAAACTACAAATTGGTAATTGAAGCTGAATGAATTTAAAATTCATGTGCTATATTTCAATATATTTGCTTTTCTTAATATTGTAAAACACTAACCTCGTTCTCATCTGAATTACAAATATTTTTTTCTGTATAAAATAATACTCTGATTAAAAAAGAAACATCAAACGTGTTTTTAGTCAATGTAGAATGTGTAACTTAAAAATATACAGATTAGTGATTAGTACAAACAGATTAATTTTGTTTTTCAAGGTAGCATTCTAATCAGGTAAAGCAAGTAATATTCTCTGTCTTTATATATATATATATATATACATATTGCAGAGCCCTCACTGATGCAAGCTCTTCAGCACACTTCTCTTCAACAGTCAAAGCGAGGGTTAAGTTTTAGCACGTTGTGCAGAATAACCCTAAAGGCACCAGCCGGTGGCGATGCCTTATATATATATATATATACTTAAATATAGCGATGAAGGGCCAAAGCCGGCGGTACCGCCACCCTGGTGCCTTTAAGGCGCTTTTCCACTGCATAGTACGGTACGGTTCGGTACGGCTCACTTGCGGTGCTTTTCCACTGCATGGTACGGTACAGTACGGTTCGCTTCAGGTCGCTTTAAATGGTACCTGGTCTGTTGAGGTTCCAAGCGTACCGTACCGGTACTAAAATGTGACGTGAAACACTGCAGATCACTGATTGGTCAGACAGAATCGTCACTACCAGCGTCACTACTAGCGTCATTGGATTTGCGACACGAGACACTTTTTTAGCAGTATTTTTGTTTTGCTGCCATCAGCCTCATTTTAAACACATTTTTCCGTCTAGCAGTTAAAAACAACCACATACCGAGAATCAGGAACACCATCCCCTCGATAGTCTTCATTGTTCCTGTGTTGTGGGTTTGAAAATGTGGCGCTTTTAAGATGATGTCATGGCAGTAGAGGCGCGCGCAAATAACGATCAGTCCCACACACTTGGAAGGGGTACTACTGCGGTGGAAACGCAAAGCGAACCGAACTGTTCCGCGCCGAGTCGAAGCGTACTGAGCCGAACCGTACCGTACTATGCAGTGGAAAAGCGCCATTAGATAACTGAAGGCACCGGGGTTGCGGTGCCACCGGCTTGGGCCCGCAATCGCTGCTCGCAGCTATATTATATGTTTGGTTTGGTTAGGATTATGGCAAGCCAAGGTTCAGAATTACACCATAAATGAATCGCGTTTACTGCCAATAGTTAGGATAAGCATGATATTGTCTAACTGCAAGCTTGTTTCAGAAATGGTGACATTTTTTTCCATCATTATTGAACATCATTATAGGAGTAGGCTATTCGGTTGAATGAGTTAGAATTAAATGTTTTATTAATCATTAGAAAATAGACATTAAGATAATAAATTGTTATGCAAGTACTTTTACTTTTAATACTTAAAGTACATTTAAAATAAAGTACTTTTTACTTTTTACTTAAGTATGGTTGTCATTGTGTTACTTCTACTTTTACTAAAGTAAATATTTATCTGGGTATTTGTACTTTTACTTAAGTACTGAGATTCAGTACTTACTTCCTCCACCACTGGTCCCCAATGAGTTTATATAGGCTAATGTTTTCTTTCAAGCAAAACCAGAACACATGGAGTTTATTTTTAAATACAATGTTCCATTTTCTTGGCAATACAAAACTGAGAATGTTCTAGAATGAGCCGAATCTCATAGGCCTACAGTATTGCAATAAATGTATAGTCCTATCAGTAGAAAAAATACATTTTGAATGCAGTTTTTTTATTTATTTATTTTAAATAGGTGAGCTCAGAGGAAATAATGTACTAAAAACAAACTTAAATCTGAAATATATATTCATACAAATGATCAAGATATAGCAGAAGCTGTGAGTTTTCAGAAACCTGTTGGTCGAGATGTTAGAGATGTCTTTAAGTGCAGAAAAAACTATGCACAAATGTCCGAGTAACAGTGACACCAAACATTGTGTGTCTTCCTGGACTGTTTTGCTGTACTGCGTTTTCCTCGCCGCAAGGTGGCGCTTGTTCTCAGAGTTGTGGTTTATACGAGTACTGTGTTTTCTGTCCTCTACACTAGACGGCACTGCTGTGACCATATTAAGACACACGGGATGGATTGTCCATATTAAAGGGATAGTTCACTTTGAAATTATTTTTTGATATGTTTTATCTTACCTCAAGGGCATCCAAGATGTAGGTGTCTTTGTTTCCACAGTATTTTCAATTTTGACATTTTTCAGTCAAACCGTTGTTGTCTGTCAGTCATATAATGGAGGCAAAGGGGGTCCACCTCAAAAAGCATGCACAGAGAAGTCCAAATTAAACATGATTTAATGACTCGTAAATGTAAGTACACATTGATGGCCTAAGACACGAAACGAGCGGTTTGTGTGAGAAAACCAACAGTTTTTATATCGTTTTTACCTTGTGTACCTCATAATATGAGATTTATATACACAGGATAAAAGAACAATGACAATTCTAAATATCTTTAAATAGTTTAAATACATTTTTCTTTTTGTTATTTATAAGGGATGAAAGGAGAGGTACATTTAACAAGGAAAACAAAGGAGATTTAAACCAGTTTTGCTCGTGGGTAAACATTTTTGGATATAGAATAAAGAAATTAACACCATATTCAAGAGATTACGATTTGGGGTTTTCTTAACAAAAAATTACAGCGTTAAGGATAAAACTGTGGGTCACATTATAGTAGGGTTTAAAATATATCAACTTAAATCAACCCATACAGTGCATTTGATTTACAGACAATTTAAACTTCCATCATTTTTTTCATACTTTCACTTCTTGAAATGCTTTCACGTCAGCAATAATCTGCGGAGTTAGGTCAAAAGTATTCTTGAATTACCGAACAAGTTTAGATTGACAAAAAAGGTGGTTAAGTGGTTAAGAAAGTGTGATGTCATTGTTTATTATCACACTAAAATATACGGCTGCTTGCAAAACAAATGTATATTTTATTTATAAAAATAAATGAACATGAAACATTTGAGTTAACACTTGTTTTATTAGCTTACTTGTAGAAACTGCTGTGATACAAGCAGACATAATTAATAAAAATACCCAGATACTGCTGTATTTAATATAAGACATAGATAGATTGCACAATTGACCAAGCAGAATTTAATATTTCAGAGACTACAGACTTTGACCATTACTTAAAATCCCTGTGAAATGGTTAGATAAGCATTTTTACTCAATTTATTTGACATTTACAGTATTCTGATTAAAACAGGAAGTATCAAAGAACTTTTCTCTTTTTTAAAATAGCCAGCAGAATTTTGTTTACATCACAGCTTGATAAGTTAACTAGCAGACATCTGCGCTGACTCGCTCATATGTCTTTGGACTGGAAAACAATCTCATGCTCTCTCGAGTAGAGACTTATCCCACTGTTTTCCCTAATATATAGTTGGGAAGTATGCATTTTCGTACACTGTGGTGCTTCACATGACCCTGACGTAAAACCAAATTTAATTCGACCCAATGGTATATTTACTGTGTGAATTGTTCACTGTCCTTTCTATAGCGCACTATGTCTCATCCACCATAAAGAAAATAAGAAATGTTTCAACAAGTGACACATGAGAGATTATATGATTGAGTATGTGTAAATGTATTGTGGAGGGGGGCATGGTCAAGCAAAGTCAACAATGGGGAGAACGCAACTCCAGGACAAGCTGTAAGGAGAGAGTCAACTGATAAATAGTAACAGCTGTTTCAACGTTCAGTGGGTGGAGAGAGAGTGTGATTGAGTGGAAAACTGGAATTGATTTTGAACTTTAAGTAGAGAATACTGCTGAAATACTGGAATTTGTGTTGAGTTTGATCAAATCAAACAGTTTGGATCAAACAAAATATCCATCTAAACTCTGAATAGCCTCTTCTTGTGTGTGATTTCTCCATTCAGGTGGAATCTCACCACGACCCTGGAATGTTGCATTATAATATTTTTCCAGATCTTTCTGGAATCGGCACACAAACCATTTCCAGTAGGACAGTTCAGAGAGATCAGGGGTGATGCTCCACTTCGCATAAACTCCTCCTGCGCTTCTGTATTCTTTATATGGAAAAGACACATCAGATACACAAAATCTTTCATTACTTGTTACTAAAGTTGTGCAAAAATCAGCTCTGAGGTTCTCTGTTTGATGGTAATGCCATCCTTTAACTCCATTCACTCGATGGAAATTAACGCTGTGATCTCCAGGATGGTTTTCTATGGTGTTGGTGCAGACGGCTCCACAGAACGGACACTGAACCCAACAGCACTGAAAGAAGTGTTCAATCAGAAGCTCATCTGGTCTTTCTTTATAGTCCAGATTTACTGGAAAAGTCTTTGTGAATCCCCTGCTGATGTCCGATATTATAGCAGGAAGTTCTTGTTTTATCACATCTTTCAGGAGTTTCACATCAACATCATCATGTTTGACTCCACTGAGGTCTTTTACAGAGAAGATCAGCTCATCTGAGAGCCACAGTGTGAAACTCTTCAACCACAATCCAACATCTCCTCTTTTCTTTTGAACATGTTCAGTAGATTCATGTGCAGCTTCCATGATCTTCTGCTGCAGGAGTTTAATGTTCTTCTTCATCTTGGGTAAAACACTGACACTGAACTTATCAGTGATGTACCGACTGACTTCATCTCTGATGAAACTCTTGAGGTGATCTCTGGGATCTTTAATGTAGTTCATGTATTTGTCAAAATCCTCCTCTTCTGCCAGTGTCTTCAGGATGTGTTTCTCCAGATTTGATCTGTTTCCATTCAGTGATCTACAGTTTGTTGTCATTTCACCAGCCAGATATCTGGCAGTCTTCTTGTAGACACTCTGCTCAATGGGCTCTTTCAGTTTCTGACAGATGATCTCTCCAAAAATGGCCGCTGCTGATGCTCCATGACAGTATTTCTGGAAAATACTATAGTACTCTTCTCTCTTCTTCTCAAGATATATTACAGGATCATTGGCTTCCCTGAATAGTCTGTGTTGGTCAGTGATCATCTTGTTTGCTCTCTTACAGATGGAAATAACCAAATCCCTGAAGAATTCATTCTTGAACTCATATTTCACTGATCCTTCCTCATGTTGTACTAACCTTTCCTTGATGTAATATGTGAGTTGTTGAATGCATCTCTTGTTGTAGCCCATCTTTGAAATGTTAAATGATTGAATCTGTGTGTTTGTACGCTGAGCAATGTCTGTGATTAATGCTCTTATTTGAACTTCATCCTCTTTAGTTAAAGAACAGTAACCAAAAGTTCTGAGGACATATTTTAACAATCCACTTGATTGTTTTACCTTTACATAATCTGAAAAACTGGACACATAGAAGATATCTCTGCTCTCCATCCTGTGGTCTACAGAAACACTTTTATAGGTGTCACTGAGGATCTTTATCACATCTCTCATTATATCAATGTCTTTGATTGCAGGAGTATCTGACTTGATATTATTCACACACTGTTTCCAAAACAGATCAAACTCTTTCTTCAGTGTTTCTTCATCATTTGCTTTGAGTTTTAAGGCAAGTTCTTTGCTCTTTTCATAGAGACTGTTTTCTTGATGTGTCCTCTGAGAATCAATCTCTTTCTTAAGGTCTCGCTGCTGAAGAATCTGCTTTAATTTCCTCTTTGTTTCTTTCACAATGTTTTCCTGAAGCTCCTTGATTTTGATTTCAAATGATGTTTTCCACTGAATCAGTATATCTTTATCTTTGTCTTTCTCAAAGAATTCAGACATTGATTTTTTCACTTCTTCTTTTGTCTTCTTCAGTTCTTCTTGCAGACCAGTTTCTTCAACCTCACGTATCGCTTCATTTTCTATTTGGTTGTGTAGTTTGTTCTCAGTTTTCATCATGGCACTATGAAGACTCCAGGTCCACTTGCTGTATTCGGTCTCCAGTTTCCTGTAGGCTGAAATCTCCAGAGAATTTCTGAAGCTGAAGACGAATCGTTCATTCAGTAAAGCCTCCCAGAGATCTTTAATACGATCTTTTAAGCCTTTCAGCATAAATCCATGTGAATTTGAGGCATGAGACATTATAGTTTTCTTTAGTTCTTGAATGTTCTCGCAGTAGTTTGGGTTTGGTGGTGCCATCGGTGGGCTTCCTTCCCAGAGCTGAGCGAAATACTTCACATCATTCTGTACATCAAATCTAATGACATCACTGAAACGTTCTGCATCACAGTCTTCCTCTTCTGCAGCAAGCTCTGTCATCTCATCCAGTTTCTCCTGCAGTCGTCTCCTTCCCTCCTCATTTTTCTCTCCAGCTGTGACGTCTGAGACGTTCTGATGCACAAACACACAGCTGGGATTTAGTTTGACCATCTTCATCCTCATGAAGGCCTGAACAACAATCTGAAGAATGTCCTGCATCTCAACTGGGTTTTCTCCAAAGATGTTGATCAAGGTCAGATTACTAAGACCAACAACAAATGTGGCCAGTTCATTGTCATGATGTCTTGTTGATCTTCCAGCCAGTTCTAGAGCACGAAAACCCTCAGTATCAACAACCAGAATATAGTCAAAGTTCATCTGTGTTTTCATCTCGTCTGAGACTCTGATCAGCTGCATGAAAGCTCCTCTGGTGCACCTGCCAGCACTGACGGCAAACTCCAGTCCAAACATGGCGTTCAGCATGGTGGATTTCCCAGAGCTCTGAATCCCTAAAACTGACAGCACAAAGACTCTCTGGTCTCCCAGTTTCTGGATGAGTTCATCTATAACAGCAGAGATCCAGACCAGAGGAACATGAGCAGCATCTCCATCCATCAGCTCCAGTGGAAATCCAGAGATCATCATCTCTGCTGCAAGACTCGGGAGAGAAGAGAAGTGAAACTGCAGATCTTTCTTGTTCTTCTTCACAGATGAACATGATTCATAGATCTGACCGATCTCCCTCATGATGTGCTCCAGACCAAAGGATGCAGTTTGAAGATCCTCAGATATTCTCTCAAGGTCAGTTTCTTCAGCTTTGAGTTGCTCAGGTTTTACATTGTTCTCTTTCAGTTTTAAAACTGCTGACCACTTTTCATCATACTTCTGATGAAGAGCAGAAAGGTCTGCTGATGTATAATCATCCAGGAGGATTCTCAGCCATTTGATGAAATACATATTCTCATGTTCAGAATGTGAGTTCATTTGTTTAATGAAGAACTTCATAAACACACTGATGTCGGATTTAAGCTGCTCTTCTCGTATTTTCATAATTTCTGTTTGTATTCTTATTTCCATTTCGGTCTTTTCTCCTTGAGGTCGATGTAGTTCTTTGTTCTTCTGACTCCACTGGTGCCACAGTTTCCCCTGATGAGGCAGAAATGAGTGTTTGATTTCTGTCAGATTTTTCTTCTCCAGTAAACTCATCATCTGCTGTGCTGCTTCTCTTCCTCTCCTGCAGTCTTCATCATCTTCCTCATCTACTCTGATGTCTGAGTGTTTGGACAAATCTTCAAGTCTGAAAGTGGAAGATGATTCTGAGAGACACTCATTTATGGCTCTTCTGAGTTCTTCAGACACATCTGACCGATCTCTGTCTTTCAGACCAATCTTGAATTTCCCTTTTTTCATCTTCATTAAAGTAAAATCATCCTCCGTAAAAAGACAAATAAGTGGTGTTGTGATTCTGAACAGATTCTGGATCTTTTCTGCACTTCTGTCATTTTTCTGAAGTTGTGGTAGAAGAACAACATTGACTGAGGCCATTTCAGTGAGGATCTGCAGCTCTTTCTCATGATCTCCTGCATCACCGTGTAGATTACAGAACGCAACACAGTCCGTGAATTTATCCGTGTTTTTCCCAGAGGGGCAGAACCAGGCGATCTCCACCACTCCATCCATCAGGACTCTGGTTCTGCTGCTGCCTGGACAGTTCCTGTGGAAGAACGTGTTGTGTTTCTCATTGATCAGACTGTTCATCAGCTGAGACTTGGATGAAGACACAGAGCCAAACCTGAAGAAACACACCATTGGAGTTTCTGCCTTGTAGACCGGATGGGTTTGACTGGTGATCTCATTGTTGGTGTTTCTCGTCTTCCAGCTCTTGTTGATTTGTCTGAATGTCCAGAGAGGAAACTCAATCTGTTGTGTGTCTGGATCAGGAACAAGCAGAGGGAGAGCGTACTGACACTGGGACAGTTTAGTGACCATCAACTGCTTCAGGAAACCATCAGCACAATGAAACACGGCCATCTGAACATCCATTGGGTGAATGCGATCAGACTGACTTGTTCCCTTGTTAGACACTGACACTGTGTCTCTTTGTTGTGTGCGATCCTGTTCATTGTTCTCTTTAACATTAATGCATCTTGCTATGTAGTCCATCATCAGTAGTTTTCGTATGAAAGTCTGACTCAGCTCCTCTTCAGCACAGGACTCATGGGACTGTAATGAATGTTTAGTTATCTGAAGAACATCTGCAGCACTCAGGTTATTGTTCCTGTGAAGATGAAGTCTGCGAAATAGGTGTGCTGTGACTCCCTGTTTAAAACACAATAATACAGTAAACTATAAAAAAAATATATTATCATTAATAAAAACAATAATATATTTGTTTTATTCAGGATTTTCTAGCTGTTTAATATATGAAGAGTTCAGATGCAAAAGCCTCTAAATGCCATTTGAAATTTTCTTCTAGAATGATAATTTTTATCAAGCTTGTATATTTAAGTTCAGTAATTTCACTTAAACGTACAGTATGCAATTTTTGGCCACCAGGGGTCACTCATTTAAAATAATAACAAAAGACGTGCTTTGATGACGTCGGGAAAGAGCGTGGGCTCACAGGAGTTGTTGTCGCTGTCAATGACAACCAGCTCAGCTCATGACATGACATCATCATTTCACAAAATATACGGATATACGGCATCTCTCTGTAGATTTAGCTTGTCGAGAAGCTTTAAATGCAACCCCAATGTTTACCTGTGTCATGCTTCTCCTGTCCCAAACCCATCTCGGGTTATATTTTTCACCCGTATGTTTGAGCTTTACTGAGCTGGCTGTAGCAGCAGAACGTGCAGGCAAAGCGTAATCGTGGTCCATAACAACAATACAGACGAATATAAATATTTATATTATGCCCCTTCAATTAATGACCTATTTTAGAATATTTTTCATATATAGAGCGCACCGGATTATAAAGCACATAAGATACTGCAGTCAAACGTTTGACTGGGTTTGCGTTATGCATCCACTATGTGCTAAAGGCTAAAGGGAATGTAGTGAGTGCGCGGCGCCGGAGGTGAGGCGTTTATTTAGTAAGCATGAGAGAGCTGAAGCGGGCACACATTCGCAGCCTGACTCATAAGAGTATTCAATGTGCGCGGCTCGCTAACAGCAACAGTTGGCAGTTTTGAATGAAACGACCCGGTTACTGTGAACGGGGAGCGCTTTATGCGCGAGCAGCACCGGGGACAGTGTCTGTTAAGAGTGAGCGCTCGTGAGCGGGCACGAGATTTACACACATAAAAATACGTACAACTTTTTTTTCTTCGTTATTTTCTTTGCTTTATTGGCGGTAGCCTAGTGTTCCCCTTTGTGTTTGGCTTCCGCAAGGAAGTTAGAGAAAATAGAGGAGTCAAAGGTTATATGACGCCATAGACGGAGACAAGCGACGAAACGGAAATAAAGAAACGTCCCGTGTCTTAATTAAACTATAAATTGGTGGAAACTGTCGGGATAATGTAAGTACACATCTAATATAAATATATAACATAGATACAGTTATTTTTGCTATTTTTAAAGCAGAGAAATTACATATTGTGGTTTTAAATGGCAATTCATAGGTAATCTTCATTGTCATTTAAGTGAAATTACTGAACTTAAATATATAAGCTTGATAAAAATGATCATTTTAGAAGAAAATTTCTAATGACTCTTCATATATATATATATATATATATAAACATTTATTCAGATAACTATGAATAGAAGGGCAGAATGTGAACTAGAGCTTTTAATGTTTAAAGTGTTAAAATATAATAATGGATGAATAGTAAATATTATAATAGTGTTATAATGAAAGAACATTAACTGGTTCTCTCCAGGTTTCTCTGATCTCTCACCTGTAGTGAATCATCAGTTTCAGTGCAGATCTTCATCTCCTCCTCTTCCTCTCTCCGCTCCTCTCGTCTTCTCTTCAGTTCATCTTCACGCTGTTCTTCAAGGAGTTTCAGTTTCTCTTCAAAAGTCTTTTGTTGATCTTCTCTCACGTTTCTTTCTTCTTTCAGTCTCTTCTCTAAGTCCTTTAGCTGTTCTTGTCTCTCTCTTTCTATTCTTTCTTTCTCTCTGATTATTCCCTCCATTTCACTCTTGAGTCTCTGAATCTCTTCATTAGAAATCTGTTTTTCTTTCTCTTCCTTTTCTTTTCTCGTCGTTTCCTCTAGTTTCTGTTTCTCCCTTTCCTCTCGTTCTCTACTCATCATGTCTCTCATCTGTTCCTCAGTTTTTTTTATTTCTCTTTTAAGTTCTTCCTCTCTTCTTGTTCTCTCTTTCTCATGATTCTGTCTTTCTTCCTCCATCATAATCTTTATTCTCTCTTTCTCTCTAATTATTTCCTCCATTTCACTCTTGAGTCTCTGAATCTCTTCATCTGAAATCTGTTTTTCTCTCTCCCACATCTTTTTATCCTCATCTTCTCTTCTCTTCTTCTCTTTGTCATAATTCTGTCGTTCTTCCTCCATCATGATCTTCATTCTCTCTTTCTCTTCTTCATGTTTCTTCATCAGTTCTTCTCTTTCGCTGGTCATTTTCTCCATCAGGATCTTCATCTTGTTTTCTTCTTCTTCATGTTTAGATTGAAGATCTTCTTTCTCTCTTTCCATTCTCTCTCTCTCTTCTTTCAGTCTCTCATTAAATTCATCCCAAACTCTCAGTTCTTTCTCTCTTCTTTTCTCATCCTCTTCGTCTCTTCTTGTCTTTTCCTGTCTCGCCCATTCCTCTCGCTCTCTCTTCATCTCCTCTCTGATCTCTCTCTCTTTCTCTTTTATTTGTGTTTTATATTGTTCTTCTCTTTCTGTATATTCATCTAGTCTTTTCTTCGTCTGATTCTCTATTCTGTCTATTTCTGTGTTGTATTTGATCTGAAGTTTCTCTTTTTCTTCCTTCATTTCATCTATTTCATGTTTAAATGTCTCTCGTTCTCGTCTCATCTCGTCTCGTATCTCTCTCTGAAGTTTCTCTTGTTCTCTTCTTTCTCTTTTGAGCTCCTCTTCTCTTCTCTTTCTCTCTTTCTCGTGATTCTTTTGTTCTTCCTCCATTGTGATCTTCATCCTCTCTTTCTCTTCCTCTTGTTTCTTCATCAGTTCTTCTCTTTCTCTGTTCAGTTTCTCCACTCTGTCCATCAGGATCTTCATCTGTTGTTCTTGTTGTTCTCTCTCCATCTGTCTGAACATCTTACACGAGTAGAAACTCCCTCCGTTTGCATTCACCATGTTGTCTATCTTCTCCAATAGATCAGACACCTGTGTTCGGTCTCCAGTCTGATTATTATCGAACACATGATATCTGTTTCCACACACTTCAATCAGGTTTCTGATCACAGATCCAGGTTTTCCCAAACACTGGTCAATGGTTTTGTTCTTCAGAAAGTCTCCTCTGGTGAAGAGCACGATGGTGAACATTAAAGACTTCTCACCAAACGTCTCTTGGATGATCTTCACTGATTCTTGTTCTTCTTTAGTGAATCGTCCCAGTGGAATCAGTAAGAGAAACACATGCGGTCCAGGCAGGATCATGGAGATGCAGTGTCTGATTTCTCTCTGGATCTCTTCATTAGTCAGTTCAGTATCAAACAGTCCTGGAGTGTCGATCACAGTAACGCGTCGACCGTTGATGTCGGATGTTTCTGATTGACTCTCACTGGTCAATGATTCAAAAGATTCCTCTGCTTTAAAAGCGTTTCTTCCTAAGATGGTGTTTCCAGTTGCGCTTTTCCCAACTCCAGTTTTTCCTAGCAGCACAATCCTCAGATCATCTTCACTCTCTAACATGCAAAAGAGGAAATAAATCAGTTTTAAAGTCTACAGTGTTTATAGTTTGATTATGTAAGATGTAGTGATGTTTTTATATCTATATAAACCTGTATTTTTATAAGGACTGCTTGTTTAGCCTGTATACACGTTCATGCTGTCTGGTATTAACAGAGATGGGAGTGAGTCACAGATGTTCAAGTCCAGGGGTCATAAAGTAAAAGTCCTGCCATATTTTTATTCCACCCATGAACTCACACAGCAAAAACTCCAATGTTAAATGAACTTTCCTAGGAGTTCATTTGGCTCCAGACTCAAGAGTGTTAAAGTGTTACAATGAGTGTTAAATTAACACTCAATAATGTTTAAGTTAATGAGCTAATTAAGTGATTGATTGAGTTATGATTAACCATTATTGAAGACACCTGATGTTAACAAGCAGAATCAACAAAGGAGAAAAATCACATTTTAGTCACCATTATGGTGAATGGTACTTTAGTTGGGCTCTTGATCCTTAAACTATTAACGTTAAATTCATTTTGGCTGCTATAATTGAGTTATAATTGCCAGATGAACAAAGGGACACGTTCATTAGGTAGTCTTGGTTATGTTTTAACATAATTATCATTCGATCTGAATCACTGAACTCATTTAGAGCCGAATCTCTGACCTAATTGTATACTGTTCATTACAGCATTACAGAATCAAAGAGATTCTACAGCATAATATCTATATTATTCAATATAATCTTCTTAAAAGTTGTTCTAATAAAAAAAATCTTTGTTTAAGGTACAGACATCAAGATTCAGTGTATGAATCTCAACAATGGTGACAAAAGAATATTCAATTAGGAAAAGGAAATTACTAAGACAATTAAGATCATAATTTATTCATACTGCAATGCATGATGGGAGCCATGAATGGGTTTTGATTGGTGGCACCCAGAATGCACTGCAACATGATTCATTATTGTCACCATTGTTGAGAATCACAGGCTGATTCTTGATGTCTGTGTGTCCAAATAAAATATTTTTTCAAAGTCTTTTGTTCAGAACAACTTTTAAGAAATATTTTGGATTAAATTAAAAAATACTGAAAATGCTATACTGTAGAATCACAGGCTGCTGTAATTATCAAGGTAAACCTGGCTCTCTAAATGGGTTTAGTGATTCAGGTCAAATGATGAATATGTCTTAAACATAACCAACACCACCTGATCAGCTTTTCCTGTTGTATATCTGGCAGTTATAACTCAATTATAAAAGCCAAACTAAATCTAACGTTAATAGTTTAAGGATGAAGAACCAAAGCAAATACCATAATGGTGATATGGCAGTACTTTTACTTTCTGACCCCTGGACTTTCCACCTCTGCTTGATGGTAGGGACTTGAGACTTGAACATGTGTGACTTACTCCCATCTCTGCAGTTTGGTAACACTTAATATAGTGTATTAGACTGATTTCCTGGTGGCCATTACCTTGTGAGAATAAATGTGTCCCTAATGAATGACTTTTCTTTTTCATCTCTTCATATTTTGTTTTTATCTGTGCCTCCAGAAATGTCTCTATGGAGAAAAACTCTCCTCTGTTTTCTTCCAGCATCTTCTCAATGTTCTCCATCAATTGTGTGGTGGGACCAAAGAAATGATGTCGTCCTCCAAAACTCTCAATGGCAGACTGTGTTTCCTCATTGAGTTCTGCTGTCTGATGCTCTGAATTCTGCATTATGAGGATCATCATGTGTTTGTTGATTCTGGAGCTGAAGATCCTCTGGATCTCCTCCATTTCTGCTTTGTCTTCATTATTGAGTGGAGAATCAGGAATAATGAGGAGGAAAACATGAACTCCAGGATCACAGAGAGACACGCAGCGGAGAGTCTGACGCATCACTTCCTGCTCTGAGAGTCGAGTGTTGAACAGAGCTGGAAGCTCCACTAGACGGATCACACGACCATGAAGATCTACGTCTGATCTTCTGTTTGTCTGCTGTATGATCTGCTCTGATATGGAGGATTTTAATGTGCCGTCGCTCCCACACACAACCAGATTCAGCTTCTCCCCCTCTGAAACTGATAGAAGAACATTTAAAAACTGTTCATTTATCATTAGAAACATCATTTATCTTCACACTCACGTCTTTCTGTGTCCTGTTGCTTCGTTGTGAAACACTGTGAAGCTTCAGCACAATCCAGGTGCCGTCCATCATTCATTTTTTCAATATCCTCAAACGTCTGCAGGAGATCATCAGGAGAGCTGTTTCCCTGAAGACTGAAGTGTCTGTTGCAGCATTTCTGAATGATTTTCTGTAGGATGTCGTTGGTTTCAGTCGGGTCTTGTGTCGTGAGCACCATGGTGTGTTGATAAACCCGCTCAGAAAAAGAGTCCAGCACCTTCTCCACACACTCTTGATCTTCTGCTGAACACTGATCATGTTTAAGGAGCAGAACGATCACATGAGGTCCTGGATCTGACAGATACACACACTCTCTCACGGTCTTCGTGATCTGACGAAGTGACAGGTGTGTTTCGAGCAGCTGAGGACTGTTGATGAGGATCACGTGTCTGTCCTTCAGTCTTCCTCCGACTCTCTCTACAACATCTGGAGGAGCTTCACTGTCAAACGCTGCTCGCCCTAATATGATGTTTCCCACTCGACTGTTTTCTGACACACTCTTCCCCAGCAGAACAATCCTCACTGCGAAGAGTAAAATCATACATTTAATGTTCACAATCCTCATATCATGAAATAACACCAAGCACATGCAATATTAACAGTTTATGATGGCAAGATCAATAACACAAGTAAAAACAGAATCTACCAGTAGGAGGTGTTTTTGAAGTTGAAAGAAGTTGACTTCAAAGAAGTTGTAGCCCATGAATGTTGGAACAACAGTAATCTGTGGCCATCTGTGAACTTTGAACCTAATGGCGGGCGTACATGGTGCGAGTTTGGACACTAGGGAGGCTGTGATATATTTCACACGTTACAAGTCAGTTAACCTGATAATAGCGTCAAAGCAGCTGGCACACGGCACAACTGTTTTACACGAATGTATCCCGAGCTGGCGGCAATCACGTGAGCTTTCGCCCTAAACATAGAGACCGGTGAAACGGAGCTTTCAATGTTGCAGGTAACTATAGGTTCAGATATTAAAACTACAGTATCAATGTCTCCTGGTCTGCGCTTCTTACTTTTCTAAACTTTAAAAAGAAAATAGTTCACAACAGCAGTTTGACCTATTTGACTCTTTATTGTTAGTGGTTGTCTTTGAAACAGTGTTTACCAAAACACAATTTGTTGCAAAAGAGCATTTATTTTATTTTATTTATTTCAAAATTTTATTTTGCCACAGATAAAACATTCTACATTTTAATTTCTAAATACATTGTGAGAAAAAAACTGACACACACTAACATAAATAATTAGCATATAAATCTCAACAATGGTGACAAACTTGATGGAGAAATGCATGCTTGGAGCCATTAGTTTTATAATATGATGACTCCCAGCATGCATTGCTTCTTGAAGCATGTCACCATTGTTGAGATTCATATGTATTTTAAAAATCACAATTTACAAAATCTGATTTGTAGCAAGAAATTATTGTCCGTGAAAATAATCTATTAATAACACAAACCTTTTGGTCTGTGATGAGATTAGTGAATCATTCTACTTCATGATGGTTAAAACTATATCACCTGATCATCTTTGTTTCTGGCTTCTTTTGTAACAACATATGAGACATTTATATAGATAAAGACTTACTAAAAGGAGGTTCATGTTTGCTGTTTCTCCTGCGAGGAGGATTGTGAGCAACAATCACTGTATTGAAACACAAGTCTTGCGTTATATTTGACTCATTCACAGTAATTATATGAAAATATTCTTGATTAATTATTTGAAACGTTCTCTGTTTCTCACCAGTGGTCGACATGTTGATATTCTGTTTTCTCCTCTGAATCTTTCTTTATTCTTCAGTCGATCGTCTTTTCTGGTTTCTCACGTCTGTCTGATCATCATCCTGTAAGAGATTCATCACAGTCCTGAGAAAATGTCCAATGAACATCTGCACATCTGTGTATGGATGCGAGCAGAAATAATAGGTACTAGCTGTCTTACACGTAAGTGTGATTTTGTACAGCTGATCATCTTCTCTGACTCCTGACATCTGATGTCTGTCTCTTCGTCGTCCTGTGAGAGATTTTATGGATTTTCATTCAAACAATAACACACAGTCTATTTTCATTAGTCTGGACAATGTAAAGCTCCATCAGTTGTTGCTGTTCAGTTTTCTATTTAACAAGGTTGAACTGGGAATCTCAACTAGAAGAACATAAAGCTTCCTGAAAACCTGATATGTGTCACAGATTTGATTCCCACTGAACAAACACACACTTACTCACTCTCATTCTCATATAGTATAGAAATAGACCAAACTCTGAATTACATAGAAAAGATTGAACTTAATTACACATCAGCAAATATTCATTCAGCTCAACACTAAACACAGTCTTTTATACGCAGATTTGTTTCTGATACGGTTCTGTGACAGAAATGAAAGTGAAACTCGTTGATGCACCTGCATGCTCAGAGTTACTTACATTGATGGTTAAAATAAGCTTTTGTTTTAGAGCATTTCATACGTAAATGTCTTATTACATGCAGAGATATGTATAAGAAAGTATGTATCATACCTATAGTCTTTCTTATGCTGAATTCCCTGTTGCCTTCTTGAGAGCAGGAAGAGATCTGTATGTGTGGGCGGAGTCAGTGACGTTACACAGGTGTACTTCATTTGGAAAAAGTTCAAGCTACACTTCCTAGGTCAAAGTTAGAGGAATAAATACACATTGTGATTCCCTTAATCCTTGAAAAACTAATTTTGTTATTTATTTTTCAACTGCTTTTAAACTCAAGAAAACATTAAATATTAAAATACATATTGTACCTGAATCCTGTCCCAACTCCCCCACCATTGTTTATTTATTTATTTATTTATTTATTTATTTATTTATTATGAACTGGTGAAAACTGTGCAGTGGTATTAGGACAATCGAAGGACAAAGAAGAGAGAGGCCACTGGGGGAGTAAAGCAGAGTTTATTTTAGCTGTGGCTGGACATGTGGTCGGACTAGGGAATGTGTGGAGGTTGCCTTACCTCTGCTACAAGTACAGAGGAGGTATGACGCAGCAATAGTGTATTTTATCAAATTATTTTGAATGTAATTAACAGCACACTGTCTTAGCATTCTGTTTGTGGTATTTTAGTAATGTTGTATTGTACTGGTGTGTTGTCAGGTGCGTTCCTGATACCCTACCTGGTGTTTATGGCCACTTGTTGCCTTCCTCTGTTCCTGCTACACACAGCAATGGGACAGCACACACAGTGAGGGAAAATTAGGGTGAGAGTCATAGCAGCTAAACTGCTTCCTAAAAAGGTCTTAATACTTTTAACAACATATGATTTCACTTACTGCTAAGTCTGCTTATTTTTCAAACCTATTAGAAGAAAATAAACAGAATCCTAGGTATCTATTTGAAACAGTGGCTAAACTAACGAAAAAGAAAGCTTCAAGCTCAGAACTGTCCAAGCAACACAGCAGTAATGACTTTATGAATTTCTTCACATATAAGATTGATAATATCAGGGACAAAATTATAACTATGCAACTGTCTACTACAGTATCGCATCAGGGGGTGCATTGTTGTCTCCCTGTGGAAAGATTTGGTTCATTTGCTGCTATAGGAGAGGAAGAATTCTGCAAACTCGTTAATTCATCTAAATCAACAACTTGTATGATAGACCATATACCGACTAAACTACTGAAAGAGATGCTTTCAGAGGTCATAGATCCTCTTCTTAATATCATTAATTCACCTTTGTCGCTAGGATACGTACCAAAAACCTTTAAGCTAGCTATGATAAAACCGCTTGTTCAAAAAAACGCAACTTGATCCTACAGAATTAGTCAATTACAGGCCAATCTCGAATCTGCCTTTTCTGTCAAAGATACTGGAAAAAGCAGTATCCTCACAACTGTGTTCCTTTCTTGAAAGAAATGATATCTGCGAGGATTTTCAGTCAGGATTTAGACCACACCATAGTACTGAGTCAGCTCTCATTAGAGTCACAAATGGTCTGGTCTTATCATCCGATCGTGGTTGTATCTCTATTAGTGTTACTCGATCTTAGTGCTGCATTTGACATAATAATTTATAATAATAATAATAATATAATAATTGACCACAACATTCTTTTAAATAGACTAGAAAACTATGTTGGTATTAGTGGAATTGCATTAGCATGGTTTAAATCATACTTATCTGACCGTTATCAGTTAGTAGCAGTAAATGAAGAGATGTCTTATCGATCACAAGTTCAGTATGGCGTACCACAAGGCTCAGAACTAGGACCGCTGCTATTCACTCTTTACATGCGACCATTAGGAGATATCATTAGGAAACATGGAATTAGCTTTTACTGTTATGTTGATGATACTCGGCTGTATATTTCTTCAAAACCTAACAAAACTTACCAATTCACAAAATTAACAGAATGCATAGCTGATATAAAAATTGGATGACTAGTATTCCTACTACTAAAAAACTCTGAAAAAACAGAGATTCTAATTATTGGACAAAAAACTTCCACACGTAACAGCCTAGAATACTCTTTAACACTTGATGGCTGCTCTGTTAAGTCTTCGTCATCGGTTAGAAAACTGGGTGTGGTCTTTGATACCAATCTCTCATTTGAAAGTCATGTGTCTAGTATCTGTTAAACCACATTTTTCTTAAAAATATATCTAAATTACGCCATATGCGCTCATTGACAAATGCGGAACAGTTAGTTCAGGAGTTCATGACATCAAGGCTGGATTATTGTAATGCTCTACTGGGTGGTTGCTCTGCATGCTTAATTAACAAACTTCAGCTAGTCCAAAACACAGCAGCTCGAGTTCTTACCAGAACCAGGAAGTATGACCATATTAGCCCGGTTCTGTCAACACTACATTGGCTGCCTATTAAACATCGTATACATTTTAAAATATTGCTGATTACTTGCAAAGCACTAAATGGTTTAGCTGTGAGGTACTTGAGCGAGCTCTTAACGCATTATAGTCCTTCACGTCTATTGCAATTTTGGAATTCCGGCCAGTTGATAATACCTAGAATATCAAAATCGACTGCTGGTGGTAGATCCTTTTCCTATTTAGCACCAAAACTCTGGAACAATCTTCCTAACATTGTCCGGGAAGCAGACACACTCTTTCAGTTCAAATCTAGACTAAAAACACATCTCATTGGCCTAGCATACACATAACACACTATAGACTTCCTAAATTCGAAATTAGGCTGCATAGTTTATATCAGCAGGAACCGGGAATACGTCCTGTAAATCCTGATGTACTTGGTACATCATAAGAAGGAGGCGTCTACGCTAAAATTAGTTTCTCTATTTATCCTGAGGGACCCTCTATGGTGGACCTGCACCTGGACCCATCTCAACTCATCCTTAAGTGCCGGCCTCATTGACACGACAGCCATCGGCATTGATCCTCAACAACTCATCTCCATTCCAGCATGATTACTTCGAATTCCAAAAAGATGAAACAGACTTCCAAAATTGGACCGACATCCAATTTTGTAATGCTACCCGAATCATACTGTTCCTTTGTTGGCCAAAGGAGAACTGGCCCCCGACTGAGCCTGGGTTCTCCCAAGGTTTTTTCTACATTCAGTCACCTGATGGAGTTTTGGTCCCTTGCCACTGATGCCTTGACTTTTGCTTGGCTTGGCTTGCTTAGTTGAGGACATTTTATGTTCAACAATATAATTGATCTGTATTGTATTATTTTCATGTTATCACTGTGAAGCTGCTTTGATACAATCTGTATTGTAAAAAGCGCTATATAAATAAAGGTGACTTGACTACAAGATACGAATTAACTATACTTTAAAATAAAATATATACTGTTTTCATTCATTGCTGGCGACTCTGCATTCGCTGTAACCGAATCGAACGTCGTTGGACGCTCTCGCTCTCTTTCTGAACCTATTCATATCTTAGCTATTCCTGCCTCATCTTCCACCAAGAAATTACCAAAAAGATCAAACAAACGCTTCAGTCCTCTTCTTCTCGATCGTCGTGTGATTTTAGCAAGCTAGAGTGTCCTGCCTGAATAAACTTCATAATTCCCGCTGAAATGGGTGGGGTTGTTTGACGTTTGATCCAGGAAGGCGTGTTAAGGGCGGGGTTTATGGCAGCGCTGCGGGGCTACTGGCTCGGCAGTGGAAACGCAAGCCCGGTGCTTGAGGCCCGAGGCCAGTGACCCGGCCGACAATGGAAACGCAGCTATTGATGAATTTATTAGGTCCAGTTCTTTGCAGGGTTTATCAACTTCACACTGAACGTTATCCTGTCCTGTAATTTTCAAATTCATCCAAAGCTGTTTTTGTTTGTTCAAGCTCTTGTTTCTTCAGGTAAGTAAAGTACGTAAAAGTTTATTTATATAGCACCTTTCACAGGTATAGGGCCACAAAGTGCTTTACAACAAAAACAATTTATATCATAAAATACACACAATAAAAACATAAACAGTACATGATCATATCAACCCACAGGTAGCTAATTGAAAGCCTGAACAAATAAATGTGTCTTAAGTCTGCATTTAAACACATCAACAGAATCAGAGGAGCGCATAGACGGTGGAAGGTCATTCCATAACCTGGGGGCAACTGCCTGAAAAGATCGGTCACCTCTAGTACGGTAGCGAGTGCGTGGAACCGTCAGCAGGTTCTGATCCACAGACCTCAGAGCACGTACAGGGGCATAACGCTGAATTAGGTCACTAATATAAGGGGGAGCCTGGCCATGTAAAGCTCTGAAAACTAAAACCAAAATTTTTAAATTTATCCTATAAGACACTGGTAACCAATGAAGTTCTTTTAGGATTGGGGATATGTGAGACCTCCTATTTGTACGTGTTAAAATTCTGGCTGCAAAGTTTTGGACTAATTGCAGTCGAGAGAGCTCCTTCTGGTTTAGGCATAAAAATAGACTATTACAATAATCTAAACGCGAAGACACAAAGGCATGAATGATAAGCTCCAAATCATTTCTTGAAACCATATTTCTAAGTTTCGAGATTTTCCTTAATTGAAAGAAGCAGTTTCTCGTCAGCTGCTTGCAGTGCTGCACTAACGACATGTCTTTGTCGAGGATAACTCCCAAATTTCTAAGACTTGGCTTAGCAGACTGGCCTAGATCACCCAAGTATTGTTTAATCCCAGGGATTACATCCTCAGGGGCAATGATCAATGTTTCTGTCTTGTCTGCATTTAGCTGCAGGGAGTTTTCACTTAGCCATTTTTTAATTTCCACAAGACAAAGAAGCAAGGAGTTTAACTTACAGATCTCTGATGGCTTGAAGCAGCAGTAAAGTTGGATATCATCGGCAAATAGGTGAAAAGAAACATCATTGAACCTTTGTATGATCTTTCCCAAAGGGATCAAATACAACAAAAATAAAACAGGGCCCAGAACGGAGCCTTGAGGGACTCCACAGAGCAAGTCTGCAGACCCAGACCTTATTTGGTTAGCTGTAACACTGAAACTACGCCCAGATAAATATGAGGTAAACCACTGCAGAACTGACCCTGACAACCCTACTTGATCCTTTAATCTTTTCAGCAAAACCTGGTGGTCGACGGTGTCAAAGGCTGAAGACAGATCCAAGAGAACTAGAACAGTGTGTTTTCCAGAATCAGCAGACATCATAATGTCATTTGACACTTTCAGTAAGGCCGTTTCGGTAGAGTGTTGTTTACGAAAACCTGACTGGAATGGCTCATAGATGTTACTATTCTCCAGGTAAAATGTTAACTGTTCGCAGACTACCTTCTCAATGAGCTTGGATAAAAACGGGAGCTTAGAAATAGGCCGAAAACTATTCAAATCCGACGGGTCCAGACCTGCCTTTTTTAGTAATGGTTCCACTATAGCATGCTTAAAAGCATCTGGAAAAACGCCAGTAGACAGCGAGAGGTTAACCATTTTAGTTACACAAGGGCCAATTTCATCAAAAACTTTTTTGAATAATCTGAAAGGAATGACGTCTGAAGAACAGGTTTAGGTCTGACAGTTCGATTCTGTCCCTTAAATTGTTGACACATGCGTCCAGTTGTTTTCTTGTTCTAAGCACACCTTCAGTCATATGTAAACTTTTGGAGTTATCTCATTCAAATGATTGAAAAACTTCCTGAAATTTTCAATCCCATGATCCCAAGATGCTTTGTCTTCCTCCTCACATTTCTCTGACTCACAGACTGTCAAACGCTGTTGTGAGAGAGACAAACTCTGGGATCTTTTGTATTACAAATTTAAAATTATTGCATTTTTCTAAACCCATTCATAGGTTGTATGGACGCTGTGTCAGGATTTACTTCTTCAACTCTCTGAAAATGTAGTATTGCGTTTTAATGCATTCACTATTAAAAAAAAATATGCAAAAAAACGAAACAAAAAAACTAAATCACATTTTTCTCCAACCATCCGATTACAATCACTAAGCGTTAGCAGTGTCACAATCTATAAGTCCTTTTTTGTTTCATAATAAATATTACATTTTATACATTAGATATTTTGAACTTGGCATATGTTCAGACATATATTGTTAAAATCATTTCACAGGTATGACTGGAGGAATTTAATCCTCTCATCTGATGTGTAGATGATTTCAGAATTTCACTGACTAATTTCTGACTTCGATATGATGGCATTTTAGAATCTCGATCTTCGTCCACTCCCCTCGAAATATGTATGTAAGCTCTCAATAGCTTCCTGTTTTGTGAATCTTCTCCATTCATCTAGCATTGCTCCCTTCCACCCAAATTTTTTGTTGTAATGTTTTTCCAGATCTTTCTGGAACCGACACACAAACCACTTCCAGTAGGGCAGATTGGTGTGGTCAGGGGTGATGCTCCAGTCAGCATGAACTCCTCCTAATTGTCTGTAGTCTCTAAATAATACAGGTTTCCCAGTTCTTGCATTAAGATACAAATTGCATTCCAATAAATCTGTGCAGATATCAGTACTAAGATTCTGTGTAGAAACGAAAAATAAGCCAGAAATTCCATTCACTCTGTGGAAAGGAACACTGTGATCTCCTTCATGGTTTTCTATGGTGTTGGTGCAGACGGCTTTACAGAACGGACACTGAACCCAACAGCACTGACATAAGTGATCAATCAGAAGCTCATCTGGTCTGCACTTGAGGTCCGTTTTTACGTTGTTGAACTCTCTGCTGATGTCAGACATTATAGCAGAAAGTTCTTTTCTTATCACATCCTCTAGGAGGTTGAAATCATCAACATCATCATGTTTGACTCCACTGAGGTCTTTTTCAGAGAAGATCAGCTCATCTGAGAGCTGCTGTGTGAAACTCTTCAACCACAAACCAACATCTCCTTTATTCTCTTGAACATGTTCAGTTGATTCATGTGCAGCTTCCATGATCTTCTGCTGCAGGAGTTTAATGTTCTCCTCCATCTTGGGTAAAACACTGACACTGAACTTATCAGTGATGTACCGACTGACTTCATCTCTGATGAAACTCTTGAAGTGATCTCTGGGATTATGAATGTAGTTCATGTATTTGCCAAAATCCTCCTCTTCTGCCAGTGTCTTCAGGATGTGTTTCTCCAGATTTGATCTGTTTCCATTCAGTGATTCACGGTTTGATCTCATTTCATCAGCCAGATCTCTGGCAGTCTTCTTGTAGACACTCTGCTCAATGGGCTCTTTCAGCTTCTGACAAATGATCTCACCAAAAATTGCAGCTGATGTTGATCCATGACAGTATTTCTGGAAAATTCTGTAATATTCTACTCTTCTCTTCTCATGAAAGAGTTCAGGATTCTTGGCTTCCCTAAAGACTCTGTGTTGGTCAGTGATCATCATGTTTGATCTCTTACAGATGGAATAAACCAAATCCATAAAGAAATCATCCTTAAAATGATATATTTTGCATTTTCTTTGATGTTCAGTTAAACTGTTCTTGATGTAACGTGCCAGTTCTTGAAGGAAGCTGATGTTGTAGCCCAGCTTTGAAATCTTGAATGACTGAATCAGTTTGTCTGTCTGTTGAACAACACTTTCGACTACTGTTCTTATTTTGGCTTCATCATCTGAAATGAGAGTTTTCGCATTTCTATATTGTGTATTGTAGAATTTTGAGGACTTTCTGAAAATGACATATTCAGAGTAACTTTGCACAGTAAGAATATCGTTGTACTTCTTGTTCTGTTTTAAGCTACTAAACATCTCTACCACATCTTTCAATATGTCAATATCTGCGGTGATCTTAATAATCTGTTCCCAAATCAAATTAAACTCTTTCTTTAGTGTTTCTTCGTTGTTTGCTTTATCTTTCAGTTTTAAAGCAAGTTCTTTGCTCTTTTCATAGAGAGTGTTTTCAAGATGTTTCCTCTGAGCATCAATCTTTTTCTTCAGGTCTCGCTGCTGAAGAACCTCATTTAATTTCCTCTTTGTTTCTCTCACAATCTTGTCCTGAAACTCTTTGATTTTGGTTTCAGTTGATTTTTTTTCCTGAATCAGTAAATTTGCATAAGTGTCTTTCTCAAAGAATTTAGACATTGATTTCTCCACTTCTTCACTTGTATTCTTCAGTTCTCTTTGAAGATAAGTTTCCTCAACCTCACATATCGCTTCATTTTCAATTTGGATTTGTAGTTTGTTCTCTATTTTATTCATGGCACTGCAGAGCTTGAGGGACCACTTGCTGTATTCAGTCTCCAGTTTCTTCTTTGCTGCAGTCAGCAGACAATTTCCAAAGCTAAAGACGAATGCTTCATCTAGTAAAACCATCCAGAGATCTTTAATACGATCTTTTAGGTCTATCAGTCTAATTCCATGTGATTGTGAAGCATGAGCCATAATAGTTTTCTTTATTTCTTGAATATTCTCGCAGTAGTTTGGGTTTGGTGGTGCCATCGGTGGGCTTCCTTCCCAGAGATGAGCAAAATACTTCACATCTTTCTGTACATCAAATCTAATGACATCACTGAAAAATTCTGTATCACAGACTTCATCTGCAGCAACAAGCTCTGTCATCTCATCCAGTGTCTCCAGCAGTCGTCTCCTTCCCTCCATGTTTTTCTCTCCAGCTGTGACGTCTGAGACGTTCTGATGCACAAACACACAGCTGGGATTCAGTCTGACCATTTTCATCCTCATGAAGGCCTGAACAACAATCTGAAGAATGTCCTGCATCTCAACTGGGTTTTCTCCAAAGATGTTGATCAAGGTCAGATTACTAAGACCAACAACAAATGTGGCCAGTTCATTGTCATGATGTCTTGTTGATGTTCCAGCCAGTTCTAGAGCACGAAGACCCTCAGTATCAACAACCAGAATATAGTCAAAGTTCATCTGTGTTTTCATCTCGTCTGAGACTCTGATCAGCTGCATGAAAGCTCCTCTGGTGCACCTGCCAGCACTGACGGCAAACTGGAGTCCAAACATGGCGTTCAGCATGGTGGATTTCCCAGAGCTCTGAATCCCTAAAACTGACAGCACAAAGACTCTCTGGTCTCCCAGTTTCTGGATGAGTTCATCTATAACAGCAGAGATCCAGACCAGAGGAACATGAGCAGCATCTCCATCCATCAGCTCCAGTGGAAATCCAGAGATCATCATCTCTGCTGCAAGACTCGGGAGAGAAGAGAAGTGAAACTGCAGATCTTTCTTGTCCTTCTTCACAGATGAACATGATTCATAGATCTGACCGATCTCCCTCATGATGTGCTCCAAACCAAAGGCTGCAGCTTGAAGATCCTCAGATATTCTCTCAAGTTCTGCTTGTTCAGCTTTGAGTTGCTCAGGTTTATAATCGTTCTTTTTCAGTTTTAAGACATTTGACCACTTTTCATCATACTTGTGGTGTAGAGCAGAAAGGTCAGCTGATGTATAATCATCCAGGAGGATTCTCAGCCATTTTAGGAAAAATATCTTCTTAAGTTCATCATATGAGTTCATTTCACTAATGAAGAAAATTATTAACTCACTGATGTCAGATTCATGCTGTTGTTCACGGATCTCACTGTTTTTTCTACTGATGTCAATTTCTATCTTATCTCCTTGAGGTCGATGTAGTTCTCTGTTCTTCTGACTCCACTGACGCCACAGTTTCCCCTGATGAGGAAGAAATGAGTCTTTGATTTCTGTCAGATCTTTATCCTCTAGTAAACTCATCATCTGCTGTGCTGCTTCTCTTCCTCTCTTGCAGTCTTCATCATCTTCCTCATCTACTCTGATGTCTGAGTGTTTGGACACATCTTCAAGTCTGAAAGTGGAAGATGATTCTGAGAGACACTCATTTATGGCTCTTCTGAGTTCTTCAGATACATCTGACCGATCTCTGTCTTTCAGACCAATCTTATATTTCCCTTTCTTCATCTTCAATACAGTAGATTTATCCTCTGTAAAAAGACAAATGAGTGGTTTTTTGTCCTTGTACAGGTTTTGGAACTTTGCTGCATGTTTGGAATTCCTGTCCATTACTGGTAGAAGAACAACATTGACTGAGGCCATTTCAGTGAGGATCTGCAGCTGTTTCTCATGATCTCCTGCATCACCGTGTAGATTACAGAACGCAACACAGTCCGTGAATTTATCCGTGTTTTTCCCAGAGGGGCAGAACCAGGCGATCTCCACCACTCCATCCATCAGGACTCTGGTTCTGCTGCTGCCTGGACAGTTCCTGTGGAAGAACGTGTTGTGTTTCTCATTGATCAGACTGTTCATCAGCTGAGACTTGGATGAAGACACAGAGCCAAACCTGAAGAAACACACCATTGGAGTTTCTGCCTTGTAGACCGGATGGGTTTGACTGGTGATCTCATTGTTGTTGTTTCTCATCTTCCAGCTCTTGTTGATTTGTCTGAATGTCCAGAGAGGAAACTCAATCTGTTGTGTGTCTGGATCAGGAACAAGCAGAGGGAGAGCGTACTGACACTGGGACAGTTTAGTGACCATCAACTGCTTCAGGAAACCATCAGCACAATGAAACACGGCCATCTGAACATCCATCGGGTGAATGCGATCAGATTGACTTGTTCCTTTAATAGAAAATGTCACTTCTCGGAATAAATCACCAAAGTCTTCAGATGTGTCAGTGTCTCTTTGTTGTGTTTGATCATCACTGGCCTTATTAACATGAATGTATCTTACTCTGTAGTCCATCATCAGTAGTTTTCGTATGAAAGTCTGACTCAGCTCCTCTTCAGCACAGGACTCATGGGACTGTAATGAATGTTCAGTTATCTGAAGAACATCTGCAGCTCTCAGTTTATTGTTCCTGTGAAGATGAAGTCTGCGAAATAGATGTGCTGGGACTCCTCCATTGTTTTCTCCCTGTTTAAAACACAATGATACAGTAAAGTAAACAAAAAAATAACAATAATATATTTGTTTTATTCAGGGTTTTCTAGCTGTTTAATGTTGTAAACATTTATTCAGATAACTTACAGTGTTAAAATATAATAATGGATGAATAGTAAATATTTTAATAGTGTTTTAATGGATGAACATGTATTGTTTTCTCCAGGTTTCTCTGATCTCTCACCTGTAGTGAATCATCAGTTTCAGTGCAGATCTTCATCTCCTCCTTTTCCTCTCTCCACTCCTCTCGTCTTCTCTTCAGTTCATCTTCACGCTGTTCTTCAAGGAGTTTCAGTTTCTCTTCAAAAGTCTTTTGTTGATCTTCTCTCAAGTTTATTTCTTCTTTCAGTCTCTTCTCTAAGTCCTCTAGCTGTTCTTGTCTCTCTCTTTCCATTCTCTCTTTCTCTCTGATTATTCCCTCCATTTCACTCTTGAGTCTCTGAATCTCTTCATCAGAAATCTGTTTTTCTTTCTCTTCCTTTTCTTTTCTCGTCATTTCCTCTAGTTTCTGTTTCTCCCTTTCCTCTCGTTCTCTACTCATCATGTCTCTCATCTGTTCCTCAGTTTTTTTAATTTCTCTTTTAAATTGTTCTTCTCTCGCTCTGAGTTCTTCTTCTCTTTTCTTTCTCTCTTTCTCGTGATTCTGTCTTTCTTCCTCCATCATAATATGTATTCTCTCTTTCTCTCTTTCTATTCTCTCCATTTCACTCTTGAGTCTCTGAATCTCTTCACCAGAAATCTTTTTTTCTCTCTCCCTCATCTTTTTATCCTCCTCTTCTCTTCTCTTCTTCTCTTCAACATAATTCTGTCGTTCTTCCTCTATCTTCATCTTCATTCTCTCTTTCTCTTCTTCATGTTTCTTCATCAGTTCTTCTCTTTCGCTGGTCATTTTCTCCATCAGGATCTTCATCTTGTTTTCTTCTTCTTCATGTTTAGATTGAAGATCTTCTTTCTCTCTTTCCATTCTCTCTCTCTCTTGTTTCAGTCTCTCATTAAATTCATCCAAAACTCTCAGTTCTTTCTCTCTTCTTTTCTCATCCTCTTCGTCTCTTCTTGTCTTTTCCTGTTTCTCCCATTCCTCTCGCTCTCTCTTCATCTCCTCTCTGATCTCTCTCTCTTTCTCTTTTATTTGTGTTTTATATTGTTCTTCTCTTTCTGTATATTCATCTAGTCTTTTCTTCATCTGATTCTCTATTCTGTCTATTTCTGTGTTGTATTTGATCTGAAGTTTCTCTTTTTCTTCCTTCATTTCCTCTATTTCATGTTTAAATGTCTCTCGTTCTCGTCTCATCTCGTCTCGTATCTCTCTCTGAAGTTTCTCTTGTTCTCTTCTTTCTCTTTTGAGCTCCTCTTCTCTTCTCTTTCTCTCTTTCTCGTGATTCTTTTGTTCTTCCTCCATTGTGAGCTTCATCCTCTCTTTCTCTTCCTCTTGTTTCTTCATCAGTTCTTCTCTTTCTCTGTTCAGTTGCTCCACTCTGTCCATCAGGATCTTCATCTGTTGTTCTTGTTGTTCTCTCTCCATCTGTCTGAACATCTTACACGAGTAGAAACTCCCTCCGTTTGCATTCACCATGTTGTCTATCTTCTCCAGTAGATCAGACACCTGTGTTCGGTCTCCAGTCTGATTATTATTGAACACATGATATCTGTTTCCACACACTTCAATCAGGTTTCTGATCACAGATCCAGGTTTTCCCAAACACTGGTCAATGGTTTTGTCCTTTAGATCATCTCCTCTGGTGAAGAGCACGATGGTGAACATTAAAGACTTCTCACCAAACATCTCTTGGATGATCTTCACTGATTCTTGTTCTTCTTTAGTGAATCGTCCCAGTGGAATCAGTAAGAGAAACGCATGTGGTCCAGGCAGGATCATGGAGATGCAGTGTCTGATTTCTCTCTGGATCTCTTCATTAGTCAGTTCAGTATCAAACAGTCCTGGAGTGTCGATCACAGTAACGCGTCGACCGTTGATGTCAGATGTTTCTCTCTGACTCTCACTGGTCACTGATTCAAAAGATTGTTCCGCTTTAAAAGCATTTCTTCCCAATATGGTGTTTCCTGTTGCGCTTTTCCCAACTCCAGTTTTTCCCAGCAGCACAATCCTCAGTTCATCTTCACTGTCTGTAAAACATGCAAAAGAGGAAATACATCAGTTTTAGTCTACAGGGTTTTTTTTTTGTAAGTTTGATTATGTAAGATGTAGTTTTTTATATCTATATAAACCCGTATTTTTATAAGGACTGCTTGTTTAGCCTGTATATTGTCTGGTATTAAGAGGTTTGTTTGTTATATTGTATTATATAGAGTATATGCTATTGGTTGGAGCAATGTTATTGTTAGTGATAATTGGTTCTTAATAAATGACTTCAAAAAGTATATTGAAGAAGAAAAAGGACATTACCAAAACTTATTCAGACACTTTGGCAGAGATGGGAGTAAGTCACACATGTTCAAGTCTCAAGTCCCTACCATCAAGCAGAGGTGGAAAGTCCAGGGGTCAGAAAGTAAAAGTCCTGCCATATTTTTATTCCACCCATGAACCCATCTCTGCCGTTTGGTAACACTTAATATAGTGTATTAGACTGATTTCCTGGTGGCCATTACCTTGTGAGAATAAATGTGTCTCTAATGAATGACTTTTCTTTTTCATCTCTTCATATTTTGTTTTCATCTGTGCCTCCAGAAATGTCTCTATGGAGAAAAACTCTCCTCTGTTTTCTTCCAGCATCTTCTGAACATTCTCCATCAATGTGGACACTTGTGTGGTGGGACCAAAGAAATGATGTCGTCCTCCAAACCTCTCAATGGCAGACTGTGTTTCCTCATTGAGTTCTGCTGTCTGATGCTCTGAATTCTGCATTATGAGGATCATGATGTGTTTGTTGATTCTGGAGCCAAAGATCCTCTGGATCTCCTCCATTTCAGATTTTTCTTCATCAGTCAGTGGAGCATCAGGAATAATGAGGAGGAATACATGAACTCCAGGATCACAGAGAGACACACAGCAGACAGTCTGACGCATCACTTCCTCCACTGAGAGCCGAGTGTTGAACAGAGCTGGAAGCTCCACTAGACGGATCACACGACCATGAAGATCTACGTCTGATCTTCTGTCTGTGTGCTGCAGGATCCGCTCTGATATGGAGGATTTTAATGTGCCGTCGCTCCCACACACAACCAGATTCAGCTTCTCCCCCTCTGAAACTGATAGAAAGAACATTTAAAAACTGATCATTTGTCATTAGAAACATCATTTATCTTCACACTCACGTCTTTCTGTGTCCTGTTGCTTCGTTGTGAAACCCTGTGAAGCTTCAGCACAATCCAGGTGCCGTCCATCATTCATTTTCTCAATGTCCTCAAACGTCTGCAGGAGATCATCAGGAGAGCTGTTTCCCTGAAGACTGAAGCGTCTGTTGCAGCATTTCTGAATGATTTTCTGTAGGATGTCATCGGTTTCAGTCGGCTCTTGTGTCGTGAGCACCATGGTGTGTTGATAAACCCGCTCAGAAAAAGAGTCCAGCACCTTCTCCACACACTCTTGATCTTCTGCTGAACACTGGTCATGTTTGAGAAGCAGAACGATCACATGAGGTCCTGGATCTGACAGAGACACACACTCTCTCACGGTCTTCGTAATCTGACGAAGTGACAGGTGTGTTTCGAGCAGCTGAGGACTGTTGATGAGGATCACTTGTCTGTCCTTCAGTCTTCCTCCGACTCTCTCTACAACATCTGGAGGAGCTTCACTGTCAAACGCTGCTCGCCCTAATATGAAGTTTCCCACTCGACTGTTTTCTGACACACTCTTCCCCAGCAGAACAATCCTCACTGCAAAGAGTAAAATCAGACATTTAATATTCATCATATCATAACATAACACGGAGCACTAGCAATATTAACAGTTTATGATGGCAAGATCAATATCACAGACCAAAATAACCAGAATCTATCAGTAGGAGGTGTTTTTGAAGTTGACCAGGTTCAAAGATTAATAACAAGTGACTCCCCTCCATGAACTGCCACCTTAACGTGGTGGAGGGGTTTGAGTACCCGAGTGACCCTAGGAGCTATGTTGTCTGGGGCTATATGCCCTGGTAGGGTCTCCCAAGGCAAACAGGTCCTAGGTGACGGGTCAGACCAAGAGCGGTTCAAAAACCCCTTATGAAATAAATAAATTCAAGGACCGTGACGTCGCCCGGTATGGTGCAGCCGGGGCCCCACCCTGGAGCCAGGCCCGGGGTTGGGGCTTATATGCGAGCGCCTGGTGGCCTGGCCTCTCCCCACGGGGTCCGGCCGGGCTCAGCCCGAAGGAGCGACGTGGGACCGCCTTCCCGTGGGCTCACCACCTGCAGGAGGAGCCGTAAGGGGCCGGTGCAGAGTGGATTGGGCAGCAGTCGAAGGCAGGGGCCTCGGCGACCCGATCCCTGGACACGGAAACTAGCCTTAGGGACGTGGAATTTCACCTCGCTGGCAGGGAAGGAGCCTGAGATTGTGCGTGAGGTTGAGAGGTTCCGACTAGAGATAGTCGGGATCACCTCTACGCATGGCTTGGCTCTGAAACCACACTCCTTGAGAGAGGATGGACTCCTCACCACTCTGGAGTTGCCCCTGGTGAGAGGCGACGGGCTGGTGTGGGTTTGCTTATAGCCTCCCAGCTCAGCCGTTGGTTAACGTTTTGGAGTTTACCCCGGTGAACGAGAGGGTCGTTTCCCTGCGCCTACGGGTCGGGGATAGATCTCTCACTGTCGTGTCTGCCTACGGGCCAAACGGCAGTGCAGAGTACCCGGCCTTCTTGGGGTCTCTGGGAGGAGTGCTGGAAAGTGCTCCGACTGGGGACTCCGTCGTTCTACTGGGGGACTTCAACGCTCACGTGGGCAACGACAGTGACACCTGGAGGGGCGTGATTGGGAGGAATGGTGAGGACATGGAGAAGGACTATCGGCTGACCTCGAAGAGATTCTGGCAAACTGTCTGGCGCCTCAGGAGAGGGAAACAGTCCCCTACCAATGCTGTTCACAGTAGGGGTGGGCGGCTGTTGACCTCAACTCGGGATGTCGTCGGGCGGCGGAAGGAATACTTCGAGAATGTCCTCAATCCCGCCATCACGTCTTCTATTGAGGAAGCAGAGGCTGGGGGCTCAGAGGTGGACTCGTCAAAAAACTCCTCGGGGGCAAGGCACCGAGGGTGGATGAGATTCGCCCTGAATACCTCAAGTCTCTGGATGTTGTGGGGCTGTCTTGGTTGACACGCCTCTGCAGCTTCGTGTGGCGGTCGGGGACAGTGGCTCTGGGATGGGTGGTGGTTCCTCTTTTTAAGAAGGGGGACCGGAGGGTGTGTTCCAACTACAGGGGGATCACACTTCTCAGCCTCCCTGGGAAAGTTTATGCCAGGGTACTGGAGAGGAGAATACGGTCGATAGTGGAACCTTGGATTCAGGAGGAACAGTGTGGTTTTCTTCCAGGCTGTGGAACAGTGGACCAGCTCTATACTCTCTACAGGGTGCTGGAGGGCTCATGGGAGTTTGCCCAACCAGTCCACATGTGTTTTGTGGATTTGGAGAAGGCATTTGACCGTGTCCCCCAAGGCGGCCTGTGGAGGGTGCTCCGGGAATATGGGGTCCGGGGTCTTTTGTTAAGGGCTGTCCGGTCCCTGTATGACCGAAGCAGGAGCTTGGTTCGCATTGCCGGTAGTAAGTCAGACTTCTTCCCGGTGCATGTTGGTCTCCGGCAGGGCTGCCCTTTGTCGCTGATTCTGTTCATAATTTTTATGGACAGAATTTCTAGGCGCAGCCAGGGGCCGGCTGGTGTCAGGTTTGGGGACCACACGATTTCGTCTCTGCTCTGTGCGGATGATATTGTCGTGTTGGCCCCTTCACACGAGGACCTTCAGCATGCACTGAGATGGTTTGCAGCCGAGTGTGAAGCGGCTGGGATGAAAATCAGCACCTCCAAATCCGAGGCCATGGTCCTCAGCCGGAAAAGGGTGGCTTGCTCACTTCAGGTTGGTGGAGAGATCCTTCCTCAAGTGGAGGAGTTTAAGTATCTTGGGGTTTTGGTTACAAGTGAGGGAACGATGGAATGGGAGATTGACAGACGGATCGGTGCAGCTTCTGCAGCAATGCGTTCGATGTACCGGTCTGTTGTGGTAAAGAAGGAGCTGAGCCGTAAGGCAAAGCTCTCGATTTACCGGTCAATCTACGTTCCTACTCTCACCTATGGTCATGAGCTTTGGGTCACGACCAAAAGGACAAGATCCTGGATACAGGCGGCCGAAATGAGCTTTCTCCGCAGGGTGGCTGGGTGATCCCTTAGAGATAGGGGGAGAAGCTCGGTCACTCGGGAGGAGCTCAGAATAGAGCCGCTGCTCCTCCACATCGAGAGAGGTCAGCTGAGGTGGCTCGGGCATCTGTTCCGGATGCCTCCTGGACGCCTCCCTGGGGAGGTGTTCTGGACACGTCCCACTGGGCGGAGGCCCCGGGGAAGACCTAGGACACGCTGGAGAGACTATGTCTCCCAGCTGGCCTGGGAACGCCTTGGTGTCCCCCCAGAAGAGATGGTGGAAGTGTCTAGGGAGAGGGCCCCCGCGACCCGGCCCCGGATGAGCCGAAGAAGATGGATGGATGGATGGATGGATGGACCAGGTTCAAAGAAGTTGCTAGCCCGTGAATGTTGGAACAACAATAATCTGTGGCTGTGATCTTTGAAGCTAATGGCGGGCGTACAGGGTGCGAGTTCGGACACTCGGGAGGTTGTGAGATATTTCACACATTACAAGTCAGTTAACCTGATAATAGCGTCAAAGCAGCTGGCACACGGCACAACTGTCCTACACAAATTTATCCCGAGCCGGCGGCAATCACATGAGCTTTCACCCTAAACATAAAGACCGGTGAAGCGGAGCATATAGGTTCAGATATATGTTCAGATATAGGTTCAACACCAGTTTGACCTCATTTCTGTCATTCATATACAGAAGTTATTATTGAGAATTAACTTATTTATTATTGAGAATTATTATTGAGAGTTTTAGATGTTGCTGTTTCATGGAAAATGTACCATTTTGGTGATCAGTGTTTCCTTTAGTTGGGCAGTTTGACTCTTTATATATATTTTTTGTCAGTGGTTGTCTTTGAAACAGTGTTTACCAAAACACAATTCGTTGCAAAAGAAAACCTTAACAAAGCTGATCAGGCGATATATATTTCATCAACATAAAGTGTATGATAAAAGTCATCACTGACCAAAAGAGGTCACTTGTTATTAATCTTATTTTTAACCATATATATATATATATATATTATTTTGCCACAGATCAAACATTCTAAATTTTAATTTCTAAATACCTTGTGAGAAAAAAAACTGACACACACTAACATCAAGAATTAACATATAAATCTCAACAATGGTGACACACTTAATGTAGAAGTGCATGCTTGGAGCCATTAGTTTTATAATATGGTGACTCCCAGCATGCCTTGCTGCTTGAAGCATGTCACTATTGTTGAGATTCATATGTATTTTAAAAATCACAATTTACAAAATTGATTTGTGGCAAGAAATTATTGTTTGTGAAAATAATCTGTTAACACAAACATTTTAGTCAGTGATGGATTAGTGAATCATATCACTTAAAACTATATCACTTGATCATCCTAGTTTCTGGCTTCTTTTGTAACAACATTTGTGTTTTGGTAAACACTGGTCTGACTTTGGTCAAGCTGCCCAACTACAGGAAACACTGATCACCATAATGGTGATTTTACAAAACCTATTATTTCCAATAAACATCAACATCTACACCTCTATTAATTATCAATAACTGGTCCGTAATATGTGATGCTGGTAATGCTGTTTGTGGAGTTGATTAATCCTCCTCTACTGAGATCTTCACAGATTTAATGTCGTCTTTTATGTTCAGATGATTTCATCTCCGGAAGTCAGATGTAGTTCTTGTATTCTCTTTTCTTCAGTGATTCTGCTTTTTATCACTAGGCGTCTTCAATGCTCAATCATCACTCAATTAATGGCTTAATTTACTGCTTCAGTGTTACTTTTAACACCCTGCTGGTGGTTCCCATTTAAAGTATATTATTTTAACACCATGGATTTTACTTTGCAGTTATTCTATTCCATAATATAATTTGTTTAAATAATTCAAGGTCCCAAGAGTATATTTTATTTATTTATTTATTTTGTTTCTAAATACATGTGTATTTTGTGTCTTTTCAGAATGATTTATGAGCAGCAACCATTTTATTTTGAGTATGTCATTGATGCCCCACTTGCCTAAATGGTGGGTGTGGTCTAATAAGGGGTTAATTACTTGAAGTCCCCAATGGGGCTGGTAAGGGTTAGCTAGCCTTGTCGGCAGTATCTAGTTCCATGTTTACAGGATGCTGGAGACACCCGCCCAAGGCTTCTGAGAAATTAAAGAGGAAAATACCCCTAGAGTCTGCGAGAGCGGGGGCGGAAGATGACTCAGTGTTGGACAACATGGTTAACGACTTAGGAATGGAAATGGATATGAGTATGGAGAGGAAGACTAGCTCAAGTCTTGCAGTTAGTAAAGTCATTGAACTCCAAGTTTGTGTCTGTGGCTGGAGCAAGGTGACAACGGTCAGGGGTTTGAAAGTTCATCAAGGGAAAATGAAATGCTTGAGGGAGAAGGGACAAGGGCCTCGCATTGATCAGTACTTCTTATGAAGTCAGTCAAGTCAGTCGAATGAAATCCGGCGACAGGAAGCAAATCAAAGCTCGCAGGATATCAGCACCCCTGTCATACGCCGCTTTCCGACCAAGTAGTTACAGGAACTTAGTTATAGGAACTGT